TAGGAGTAGGAGTAGGAGTAGTAGTAGTAGTAGCAGCAGTAGTAGTAGTAGTAGTAGCAGCAGTAGCAGCAGCAGGAGGAGTAGTAGTAGTAGTAGCAGCAGCAGCAGCAGCAGTAGGAGTAGGAGTAGTAGTAGTAGTAGCAGTAGTAGTAGTAGTAGTAGAAGTAGTAGTAGTAGTAGTAGTAGCAGTAGTAGTACTTCTTGTTGTTGGCCTTGTTGTTGTCGGAGTGGTTGTAGTGGTGGTGATGGTGGTGGTCATGGTGGAGGTGGTGGAAGGGTATTGAACTTGCGCTCGTTGTCAGTATTTTCGTCATGACTGTTGTGCCATGCCCAACCATAAACAGATTGCTGCCGGAGATTTCAGGCATCGTCCAGAGCCTTGTGGTGGCCGCTATGGAAGGGCATCGAGGCCTCTATACGCCGGAGCATTTGAAGAAGCGCATAGGGGCGAACAAGGTGCCTCTGAGCGAGCAGACGGCCACCCTATTCATGTTTCAGCTGGAGCAACTGGCATCCGAGATTCTGTATCTCGATCGCTTAAAGCCAGAACACAACTTCATTCACATCGCGGCGGTCATCAGCGACTTCGAAGATGCCAGAGCCGCAGCCAACAGAAGACGCACTTGTGGCACGAGCAGTTTGAAACGCTCCTGGTACAGTTGGAGTGGCTGCTGCAGTGGCCGCTTTGGGTGCATTTGAGGCCCTTTGTAGTGTCATTTGTATGAACACTGGTTTGATCGCTTATACCATCAAGATCGTCAGTATAGCCATGTTATAAAGCATATTGCTCTTCCCACCCAAAGGGGGAACCAGTTGCACTGGCCGCAAGAGTAGCAATGGCAATGTTGGATGACGTGGTAATGATATTATGTAACTCAGCCCCCTCCCAACCTGGGCCTCAAAACTCGACCCGCGAAGAAATCCTGAAGCCTAAACACCAAGCCTGCAACCTTAAGCCCTCAACCTTACACCTTAAGCCTTGAACACTTAAACCGAAGAATGGACGTCTGCGCCACCTGCCAGAAGTTCGGGTGTGCAGCGTCAGTGGCTGCTCGGGATGTTCTTCAACCCTAGAGCTGACATGTGGGGCTTTCCGAAAATTAGGGGTACCCTATTATGGGGTCCTTATAATAAGGACCCTACTATTAAGGGTACTATATTAGGGTCCCCTTATTTTTGGACACCCCCATGCGGCTCTCTCCAAACTGCTTTTCTATGACGCGCACACAACCACCCACCCACCTACCCGTACGGACGCAGACAAATACACAGACACACATATATGTAATATATACACACACAGACATACGCAGAGTCCCGCACACAAAGAGGCAGACACACGCACACACACACACACCCACCCACCCCCCCACCCACACCCACCCACCCAC